GAACTCTGTTATTTTACGTACTATTTACATTTTATGTAGATTTTTTGTAATCAACAAAAACTCCCTTCGAATAATTATGTACAAAAGTATATAAAAAGCAAAATAACGATATATTTACACTAAACGCTATTAAATTATAATAGCGTTTATAAATTAGCTATTAACAACTTCATTAAAACATTGAAACCCAGATAAGTCTTGCCAATATCACGCGTTTTCCATCAAACAGTAAATGCTATATTCGACACCACCATCCGCCTTAAAAATACTTTAGGGAACTTGATAAAAATGTCTGCACTAAATACTCATTAACGGATGGGTAATTACGGTTCATTAACGGATGGTCCTATTGCAACAACAAAAAAACACCACACGCTACTAATTAAAAGATAAGTAGTATAGTGTGGCTCTTTTTGAAAAAAATTACTATTAACATCTTAAAAACGTAATTTAATTGTTTTTTATTAAAATTTATTAAAACTCATGTCTAAATATCCATATAAATATTTATTTAAAACATGATATTAATATTTGTTTTAAAAAATCTACAAATTTTTTGTTGAGGATCGTTGTCATCATCCTCTTCAATTCTACTAACTATTGTCATTTTTCTCTTCATTGATTGAAACATCAGTCATTTACATACCTCACCACATTTGACCACCATAGCGATCTCTTGCCTTTTTTTTTCGCATCGTTGATCCTAGAAAAAGTTGACACTATAAATATAATAAAATAATCACTTAAAATTACTTTAATTAAATCTATAATTATTCTCTTATATGTGTGAATTCATGTAATAACATTAGTTATTACATGAATTCACACATATAAGAGATTGTTATATAGAATCATATAGACAATATAAACATCTGCATATTAATATATATATATATATATATATATATATATATATATATATATATATATATATATATATATATATATATATATATATATATATATATATATATATATATATATATATATATATATATATTAGTAATATAAATAAATAAATCTCGTATTTCAAACGTTCAACAATTTTCAAACAAGTTGCAATCCTTCAAGTTGTCTGTCACTCATTATCTTGCTCTACAAACTTTATCTTTTTACTTCCAGTAACTTTAAACTTTTATAGTGGTTGCTTGCAGCCACATATGCTTATACGAAAAAAAAAAAAAGAAAAAACAAGTTAAACTCATTCTTTTGTTACTCATCATTACATTCTGCCTTATCTTTTAACTGTGACTGTTCCTAAGTGCTCCAAAAGTTCTTATTTGCCTAGTTTTTTTACTCAAAAATATGTTCTTTATAGTTCTCTCCATCCATCTTGTTTTCCTGATTCATATAATTTGCAATCTGTTAATCAAGTGAGTCATTATCTTTCTTCATAAAATTTATCTTGGCTCTTCCAGTAACTTCCAACTTGTTAAAATCTATATATGCTTTGAATATTTTAGAAGTATATATATAAGTTTATAGATTATTTTTTTGTTACTTATTGTTTTACTTGAAATCAAAATTTTTGTTATTGTAGTTAAACCAATCACTGTGAGTATGAGCTTATACTCATAGTACTTATAGTTCGACTGACTGCTAATTGTACAAAAATGTTCAGAGTAGATTTGAATTAAACATTTTTGAGCAGTTTTTCGAAGTTAAAACTTATGTTTGCCATGACTTCCAGTCCTGTTGATATTTTTCTGCAGTTCAAGTGCCAGTAATTTGCATCAGATCTGATAAACATGGACATGGATATCCCATCTCCAAGCTTCATTTATAAATATTTTATCTCATTCATATTGTATTCTTTTGTCAAAAGATGTTCCTTTTAACAATCGAACACATCATAGCTACAAGGCCGGCGCAAAGGAGGGTGTGTGTGAGGGTGGGGGTGTAACACCCCTACACACCCCCGTCAATGATTTTTAGCGGGCATATTTGACATCAATGATTTTTAGTCGGCAAATTACTTTTCGACTAGTTAGTCTGCAAATGTCGACCCTTTCGATATAGTTTAGTCGGTAGTTAAGACAGTTAGTCGGCAAATGTTGTCATGGCAGTCGGCAAATATTCAAAAATGAGGACCTTTTTTTTTTTTTTAGTCGAGGCAAAAGTGATAATGACATCCCCCCATGTGACACCTACTCACGCCGGCCCTACCTAGCTATACTCACATAATCAGAGTGTAAACATCATAACTACAGAAAAGACATGAAAAACTTCATTGCTGCAATTATAATAATTATAATATATCCCAATCAACAGGATCACCTATAATCTTCAACTGTCGTTATTCAAGATTAGTCAAATTATAATGGATTGAAGTCAATTCATGCTATAAATGCATACATTTTGCATGTATGCATTCATAAAATGAAGGAAAACTGTCCTGTCATAATAATTAAAATAAAAGTCACTAAAAGTTTTAGTCTAAAACATAAAAAATCACAAATTATGATACATCAATAAACAACATCAGATAAAATAAAAATAAACAACATCAGATAAAACAAAAATATTCTTTGCAATCAGTCTAAAATATAGCACAAATATTAAAATAAAAAAGCAATAAAAATATTTAAAACATTACTAAAATAAGAAAGTTAATAAGAGTTAACTAAGTTAACATTTATTTCATAAATTGAATTTATGTGTTACAAAGTTAACATTTACTTAATAAATTGAATTTATTAAAGAGGAACACAAAAACAATAAAATTAATAACTAAAAACTCAAAAATACATAAAGCTGTTTTAAAAATTATTTTTTGAAATTATAGCAAAACTATGAGTTAATAAACGTACATTACATACATTTAACAATGCTTTTAAACACTTTTTTCACTTAAACTCTAAAAGTGTAGGAAAAAAAAAGTTTTTTTAAAAACAACACATTTCTTTGACAAAATTAAAAATTACCTATAAATAAAATTACCTATAAAAATTACCTATAAATAAAAATTACCTATAAAATTACCTATATATAAGTGCAAACAGCAAAATTTTGGAGTTTTGAGCTTTCTTGACAGTTTATTGCTTTTTTAACTATAGGCTTTGAATCGTTGGTTTTTGTAAACATGCTATAGATGGATGGTATATTCCTGATTACACAGATTTGACAATTTTTGTAGCATACACATTTTTTCTCTTCTGTAAGGTGTTGAGTTTTATTTTTAAAAAGGGGAGCAGAAAGGGAGATCCAAGGTTTGTGACAAACAATGCGCACACATTGCGACTGTATTACATAAAACCTCTCTAGTTGTGACTTGGATTTTCATTAAAATACAATGTTTTGATTGAAATACATTTATTGAAGATTTTCACATCAGTTACAATGATATTAAACAAAAAAAACCCTAGCTTTACTGAATAAACTGGAAGGATAAGTTCCTTATTGCTTCTGGATCTCTATTATTATTTAAACCCAAAAAAATCCTGAAGCAACAATAATAAAAGCCAATAACAAAATTTGAACCATACTATACTTTAAATATATTATTATAAAAACTATTACACTATAATATAGACTATATTGTAATGTTTTTATAATAACATACTTAAAGTATAGTATAGCTCAAATTTTGTTATTGGCTTTTATTATTGTTGCTTAGTTGACTATATACTAGTATAGACTATATTATAGTCTACCGGTAGACTATAATATAGTCTATACTAATATATAGTCAGAAGCAACAATAATAAAAGCCGATAACGACGGTATACCGTCGGTATACTATAAAATTGGGACTAGTCCTAGTCGGTATACTATATAATAAATATATAAAAATATTATAATACTATAAATACTATAAAAAATACTATAATACTATAAAAAAAAATTCTATATAAATACTATAAAAAAAATAAAATAAAACCTAGTCGGTTCACTATAAAATCGGGACTATCATAGATAAAATAGATATTATAAAATAGATATTATAGTTTATACTATAAAATTGGGACTATATTATAAATAAAATTGGGACTTTATTATAGATATAATATTGGGACTAACTTATAGATAAAGTAGACTATATTATAGTCTATACTATAAAATATATATAATACTTCTGACTATATACTGGTATAGACTATATTATAGTCAATACTATAAAAATTATTGTAGGATTTTTTGGAGAAATTATTATTAATAAAACTTAGACGTCAAAAATCATATTTTTGTAAAAAAGTGATATTTAGTTTGCAAGAATGAATATTCCAAAGTAAAACGAATTATCTGGATGTTGTAGGTAAAACTGTAGATCATATATCGATCGAACTATAGATTACATGTGGTCTCTATTCCCTACACTTAGTTTTCACTATTATTTTAAGTAATTTAATTTCTCATTTTTGTCGGAAATTTTGTCTCACTTACAATTTTGTTTTAATATTTTTCTGTGATTAACTTTTTTTTTCCATGTAAAGATTTCGCTTGAGTTTATAGATCATATATTGAAAAGGTTTTATTTATTTAAAAACTTTTCGAGTTTTTAGGTGTAATGGAATGTTTAAATATTTCTAAGGCTAGACGAGACCAAGGCCGGCGCGATAGGGGGGTGTGGGGGGTGTGACACCCCCTCCCCCATCAATGATTTTTAGTCGGCAAACTGGACCCTTAGTCGGCAAATCGGACCTTTTTAGACTATGTAGTCGGCAAATGTCGACCTAGGTTTCGATATAGGTTAGACAGTCGGCAAATGTCGTAATGACAGTGGGTAAATTTTGGAAAACGAGGACCTTTTTTTTTTTTTTTTAGTCGGCAAAAGTTGTAATGGCACCCCCCCACGTGACACCTACTCGCGCCGGCCCTGGACGAGACTATCGTTATTTTGACGTAAAATCAAGTAAAAATATTCTCAAGTTAAAAATAGTTCTCTTTTGTTTTGCCATTGTTATTTGTAACAATGAATAGCGCCTTTTAAACAAAACGTTTAACGTCTATCTATTGCTATGACTTAGTACGTAGAGTCCGCTAAAGCGAAAATAAAAAATAATCCGGTATCCGAAAAATACGGCCTAATTCTGAGGGATGTTAAAGTTTGCTGACCCACAATCGTTAATTTTACTTTTAAAAAGTGTTGAATGTTGAATCCTGGAAGACCATATATAATCCTTTGGGTTCGCCCTTGATACAGTATAGTATTTTTAAGTTTTATACTATTTTTGTTAATTATAATGATTCTCATTTTTTTCAATTTATATTAGTTCAACTTAATATAATTTTACAAAAACTTAATATAATTTTACAAATACTAGTTGTATTTACGTTGATGTATGTGTTTACATTCTGTCCGTTTATTCCTGTTTACCACTGCAGACTGTAACTTTTGTGTGTGTTTTCATTTATTGGAAGGGGGCTATTAATCGTTTTAGCAAAAAATATACAAAAATTTTATTATTATAATAATTTTTTCTTAAATGCATAAACTATGTTTTGTTAAGTCTGTCCTCAAGTCTGTATATCAAAGTTATGTAAATAACAAATAAAATGTTATTATTGTTATATACTGATGTTGTTAATATTTCACTCCATTTAGGAGTAATTTCAAATCATTTATAAATAACCCTGATTTGTAAAGCTCTTGTCAAAAATATAAACTGAATAATTATTTGATTGATATATATTGATTGATATCATGTTTATAAAATATTGAGTTTTTTCTTTTTTATATCTTGATAAAGATCAAACAAGTTTTTTACCAATATTGATAATTGCTTCAGGGCCCCTAAACATTTAATGGGTTTTTAAAAATTTCTCTAAAATTTACAATTAAAATTTAAAAACCTCTAAAATATACAATCAATTATTTGCATTATTTTTTCTTGAAATATTGCTAAATTAAAAAAAAAAAAAAAACATCTTCGCTTCCAACAAGGCTGCAAGCAACCACTAATTAATTTTGGAAGTTACTGGAAAAGAAAAGATAAAAATTGTAGAGCAAGATAACAATTGACAGACAACTTGAAATATTGCAAATTATATCAGGAAAGCAATATGAAGGAAGCGAATTCCAAAGAACTGATGTTCGAGGAAAAAAACTAGACGAATAAAAGTTTTTGGAGCACTTAGGAACAGTAACAGAAAAAGGATGAGACTTATTTGAATGACGAATAACACGAGAGTGAATTTTAGTAGATGGCACAAGAGAGGCTAGCTCTTTAAAGCAGTGTCCATTATAGTATTTGTAGAAAAGAGAAAGAGAAGCAACATTATGGCGATGTAATAATGGTTGATGGTTGGCTGGTCTAACTATGTTTACAATGCATTTTTGCACCTTGTTTAAAAGAGAAAGGGCATCATTAGAAGATCTTCCCCAGATATGGCAACATTATTCCATACAAGGTTGGATTTGAAATTTATAAAAAATCCTCATAAAAAACTCATTAAATAAAAAACTCTTCAAATTAGGGTTTCAAGCCGGATTTTTTAAAAACAGAGTTAATGATTTACTAAGGGTTTTTGACTTGTTTTTGATAAAGTTTATTAATGCTTAATGTTTTATTAATTAGTTATTAACCAATTTTATATTTTTGAAGGTTATAAAATTTGTGATACCAGTAGTTTTTCAAAATTAATTTCTAAAATTGCTATTCTGCCATCATAAATTTGTTGGTTGCCATATCAGGCCTTGCGATAAAGCGTCGGGCGATGTGAATTTTACGTCGTCCAAGAGTGATTTTGCGTGTAGCTAGGGCTACTTGCGTCGAGCAAAAAAATTTTTGTTTGAGTATATTTAAAGATATTTTTGAGCGGAATTTTAATGAAGTAATTTACGATTATTTTAACATTTAATAAAGTATTTTAAAAACCGCACACAGTTGATATAAAAGTTTGAATTACAAAAAAATTAAATATGCTCATTATTTACAAGTAGAAAAAATTCAGATTAAAAAAAAAGTTTAAATCTTTTTAAACTAACATTTTAATAAAATTATTCAGCAATAGCAAAATAGTCGATAAAATTGAACAAAAATACTTACTTTTAGTTTAAGATTTTTAACTTAAATAATTATTTTACGGGGGTTTGTTAGGTTTTAAAATCATTCCATAGATTTAAAAATATTTATTAACTGTTAGAGCGTATTTAAAGTATTTAAGAGTAATTTCGAGGCAATATTTTAATTGTTAAGTGCAAATAAAAAAATAAATAAAAGGAATAATATTAAAACGTATTCTACTTGATTCAATAAAAAAGTACAGTTATTAAAATTTTTGTAAAAAGTAACTCAAAAAAAATTACTTAATTAATAACAATCGCTTTTTTGTTAAAAGTTACCGAAACTCAACGAAGCGTGCTCAAGAACAGCTGCAGAAAAATAGAACGTCAATAGTTTGATAAGTTTATATAACCTGGTTTTGTTACCCGGTTTCTACCAATGTAAAGCGGAAACACCATGAAAGGGGCTCAATAAACGTAAAAAATAAAACAAAAATTAATTTGCAAGCTGTAATCATAAGCCATTTATTTATAAAATAAAATTAATTCTCATATTTAACCACGTAATGTTTTCTTTTTTTTATTTTAGCGCACCTTTCATTAAATATTGTTCAATATGCAAATTTTTTCGCTGAAATATGTTTTTTACACCTATAAGATTTTATTCTAGCATTTTATTTTATTTTATTTTACTAGAAATAAAGTTCCTTGTAAACATTAAAAATCTATTCAAAACGTTCGTTAAAGTTTTTTAGTAATTCGAGTGTTTGTGCTTATCAACCGCTTTATGAAAATAAATAAAAATAAATAAATAAAAAAATATTAAATAAAATCGCTGGTAAAAATATTAGCTCTTTTACAGTTTTTAATCGTACAATATTAAAATTTCCACTTTATTACTTGCTGACTTTTTAAAAAGAAAAAATAATTATTTGAAATCTTTAAATTACATATTTAAGAAAAAAAGAATCAAATATTAGCATATTTTATAATCTTTTTTAAATGTTTAGTTATAATGTTTTTTATTTGTTTAGTATAGACAAAACGTGTCAAACGTCGAGAAAATAAACAAATGTTTTTACATTTAAAAAAACGAAACATTCCAAAACATTTTAAAATAATAACATTTCTACATTAATGATTTAAAGTAGTTTTGCGGTAATTAAGTAAATTGGTGCAGTTAATGTCGATAAATATGAAAAGCAAATAAAAAGAATTTAATGACGTCAAAAATCACGTCGTGCTTATGCGACGCACAGTTTTTATTCATCACAAGGCCTGCCATATGGTAGTGGTGTCAGCTTTTGGGACGCACAGTTTTTATTCATCACAAGGCCTGCCATGCAGTAGTGGTGAAGTGGTAGAGCGCTCGCTTCATAAACAAGTGGTTCGGAGTTCGATCCTCACCACGTCCCTGGTAGTACCGCGCTCAACTCATTTCTCCGCGCAGCGGCCTTGTTCATCAAGGTTTATGTTTTGGAGTTATAGAGTTGAGAGAGGGTTATAGCCACAAATAAGTAACCTCCTCATCTGTAGTGGCCTTCTTGGCCTTAAAGAGGTGAATTAAAATAAAAAATAAAATAAAAAAAATATGGCTGTTTTGACTAAAACTGGAGTAAATTTTGAATATATATATATACATATATACATATATATATATATATATATATATATATATATATATATATATATATATATATATATATATATATATATATATATATATAGGCTTGGTCAGGAAGCGGGTGCGATCGCACTTGATAATTGACCACAGAAATAATATTTAGTTGCGAAAAGCTGGCCAGATTTTTAAGTCGATTTGAGAACATTTCAAAAGCAAACAAAAAAGCGCGATAAGATTAACTGGACCGATGAGAGACTTCAAAAAAGAGTTTAAAAAAAAGGCGAAAAAACTTTAGGCAAAATAAACACGATTAGAGCAATTTTTGAAACGTCGTTCTTTTTTTATAAAATTAAGTGACATTTTTTGTATAAAGCAACAACTTACTATTAATGATTGTTTAATTAGGAAACAAATGTTCTTCGATTTATCAAAGAGTATATATAATTTTTGTTTATATATTTATGTCTTATTTCCAGTGCTGGATTGAGGAGGTAGGGGGGGGGAGGAAGTAGAAGGGTTATAGCCTCGAGACTCGCAATGTTAATGGCCGCGAAATAGTCAAGAGGTCTATTCGGTATTTTTTTTAATCATTTTTACGCTGTGGCACATAAAAAAGGCTGCCAAAATAATGCAGTCCCCGGCCCTGAAAAGTCCAACAAGATACAACCAATAAAACTAACGCTAGATGATTTATTTATAAATAAAAAAGTTTTTTCGATAACTGTTTTATGCTTTACGTAGTTTAAAAAGTTTAACACATTTGAAACAATTTCTCTTAGTAAGATGAACAAATAAAATAATTAAATCATTGAGTTACTGTAGAAACTCAATTAGCTAAATTAAAATTAACTAAAAACGTTAAATTACTATGTGAGGAGGAAGCGGAACTGCTTCACAATAACGCTGAAGATGTTTAATGAGTGGATTTTATAATTTAAAAAAAAAAAAGTAACTTTAAGTTTAAGTATAACGAGTTTGTAAGAATGGCTAAAGCAAAAATAATTGAAGTTAGTAAACCAATTTCTAAGACTTTTCTTTCTTGGGTAAAGAATCAGTTATCGTGTGCACTGAGGAAAATTGATAAGTGGTTAAAATTATTTGTATTAACTTTGATGGTTATTATTAATTTCATTAAAAACGCAGTTAATATTGAAAGTATTTTTGTTTACAAAATCAATCGCACAAATTGCTTTAAAAGATTACATATGAATAAAATACACATACATAAAATTGAATGCACAATAAAAAATACATACATAAAAATACATTACATACATAAAAAATACATCCCTTATATAAAATAAGAATATACTAATAAAATCTATAATATATTTACAAAACGTTGACAAGTTAGAAAAGATAGATTTAAAACATTTATTTTTGTAAACAAATAATGTTAGTTTAAAACATTTATAGCTTTGTAGATGTGGCTCCGAGAATTAAAATAATAGTTCGTTTGATAATTTATTCTTAAAACAGTTTATGCTAGAAATCTCAACGAAAACATAACAAAATTCAAATAATACAATTATTTAAAATATTTCAACGGAATACTCTAGAAATTTCCGTTAG